AGCTAATGGAACAGTAGTTTTGACCAAAATTCCTACAGCTCCGTCGCTAGTACCGTTTCTAATTTGGAGAGTACATTATGAGGAAAAAATAATTAGCACTTTCATCCCCCCCCGCCTGTCAGCATCACTACGAGAAAAATGGCCTCTTGCAACTCGCAAAATGTGTTGCGCAAAGTCTTAAAAGAGTTGCAATATCTTAACGCAACACTTTTACTAGGGTTGCATATAGTGGGGGTTGCAAAAAGAATAGGCAACTATTTTTTAATATTTCGCAACCAAAATAAAAAGGGTTGCATATCCTTACCCATTATGCAACACCACTTTAGACAACACAATTCACAATTTTTCCAACACATTTTAACAACATTGGCAACGGGTTTTACAAGTTTTGACAACATTTAAATTTTATATGACAAGTCTAAATCGTCACAAATGGCTAACCCAATTGTGACAATTTTCTCTTATAACAAAAACCATATACTGTGACGAGTTTGTGTCGACATCAAATAAATCAAATGTGACTAGTTTAAATTGTCACAAATGTGTCACCTTTTTTACAACACTTTTGTCACAAAATCTATTTTCATTATGGTAACTCGTCACAATATCATATTTTGGTGACAAAATGAATGTCACATTATACTTTTGGTTATATAGTATTTGTCATCAAAGTATTTTTTTGCGACAAAAGTTTTGTCACGTATTAGTTATAACACAATACACGTGGTAGGATAAAGTAAATATTATTGACCATATGTCCGGTCATTAAAGCTATATTATGCGACAAGTACCGTCATCACAAAATGTCTATATCATTGATGATTTTGACCATTACAATGTATTTTTTTTATGATAAATCACATATACAATATTGATAATAACATGAGCCAAATTACAAAAAGTTTCGTAACTACACCATCGTTACTACTATAAGAACAACAAAAATTAATGAATTTCTCGGAGTCCAGCTACGATCATCGGATTTCAGGATTCTGCTTTTATCTCGTCACCAGGTTTTCTCCTTCACTTCTTCGCCAAAGAACACTCCTTTTATGTTGCTTTCACGGCAAATTCTACCCCTAAATGAAACCTTGATCCAATTATACATAGAAAAATCAGCCAAGCCAATCAAGAATTAGAACAGAAACCTGGACTTTGCATGTAAGAAATACTTCCCGTTGAAGGTTGAAGACATGATACGAATCTCCTACAATACCATTATACGTGACATGAAGTAAATGGCTGCAACTTCTTTCTTTAAAGGAATCCGAAAGAAGGTCATCCCATTGTTAATCTGGTAGAAGAAAAAGTACAACGTTTGTGATGTGGGAAAAAAAACTATTGCACAATTAGAAGAGAGACGAAGGGGTTATGGAAACCTTAAAGGAAGAAAAGGATACTAATTGAAATAAACTCAATCTCACATATTCCTAAATTCCTTTTAAAGGAAACTAATTGAAATAAACTCAATCTCACAGATTCCCAAAATCTTTTAGGATGCTTGTTTGGAGATTATGAATTTATGTGTTTTCAAAAAATGAAAGGTCAATCCACACCATTGATTGGTATATAATTAATTGTTAAGATGGAACTATCCGTGTAATGCTATTCTAACCAATAGGGTTCTTTTATTTTGTGCATTTAGTACTTCGTCCAACTGTGCATTATAAGTTTCAGTTGAGATTTGATTTAACTAAAAAGATACTAAGTATATGATTATTTTCTTATTTTTGGCAGAATGAGCCTCGTGGGTCGTGGCTTTTGTGGGATGAACTTATCTTCTTTAATTTGATAAACACTGATAAATATAAAACTGGAGTACTGATTTCGTAGCCTTGTTAATTTTTTCTTGTTGGTGGGTGGGAAGTTCTACCTTTCGATGCCTTTGATTAATTACTTTATTAAATCAATAAAGTATGAGAGATATACATGGTCGATAAGAAATAATCAATTTTTATCGACATTACACGCTTTGATGTGAAATAGAGGAGTAGTTCTTGTAACTTTGAAGTTAAACGTGTTTAAAGTGGAACATTGATCTTTTAAAAAGTCATCATAATACACGACAAAGCAAAACTATGTCGGCCTTGCTTCAAAGCCACGTGACATTAAAGAGAGATCAAAACATGACATACAAAATAAATTGATGCGGTAAAGAAATCTATCAAAATGCAAAAGTTAACATTTTGCAACCTAATGTATTAAGTGTTGCTTAAAATATACAAATAGGCAACATAACAACCATTTCTTAGATCAATGTTGCCTATAGTAGGCAAGTGCAACATATAATTAATTTGGGTTGCCTAAAGTACCTAATACGCAACACAAGACAAATGTGTTGTCATTAATTATTTAGCGCAACCCTATTAAATTGTGTTGCAATCCGAGTGTTGCAAGAGGTCCATTTTCCCGTAGTGCATGCACCTCCCTCTCCCAGCTTTAATTAATTTCATCATCTTGGCTACTGAAAGTAAGGCTGTACAATAAAACCGAAACCCAACCCATCTTATTTGACTCAACTCAACGTCTCAATTTATTTGTATTTATCCCGTTTGAACAAGGTTTAAGATTGTACATGTGCGCTGGGCCGTGTTTGGGTCGGCACGGCACAAGCATGCTTCAGAGTTCAGACCCATTTATTTTGTGTCGTGTTTGGCACGACCCGTCAGTTTTCGTGTCGTGCCGTGCAAGCCCATTTGTTACTTTTGCTAGGCCCGGGCCCGGGCACAGTTTGAATCGTGCCGTGCCTATTCGGGCTCGTGTCATGCACATATTTTTGTTTAACGAAAAGGAAGAAAATAAAAGAGGGAATGAAAAAGAAGGAGAAAATTGGACGGAGAATGAAAGTATTAACCGGAGAATGTTTGAGAAACGTAACAACAAAGGAAATTGGAAGTATAACGAGTGTGAAATTACTTTGTTTAATTCTTCATCCATTTTTTATGATAGTAATTACGTATATATCTTAATGATCACTTCTAACAACAATAAACAATTATTTTTTTGTCAAATTAATATTCTTTTTGTTCGATGTCCGTTCTTATACTCAATAAGGTTTTGAAAATATTAGGCCCGCCACGGCCCATTTACATACTGTGCCGTGCCCGTGAAATTTAGGCCCGGCCCATAAAGAATTCGTGCTCGCGCCGGTGTGGCCCATATATTTCGTGTCCGTGCTCGTATTGGGCTCTAACCGTGCCGTATCGTGCAAGCTCGTGGACGGCCCGGCCCGATGCCCACATACATTTAAGATTGGGTGAGAGAATTTTTTTTTGCCAAACCGAACTCTTTCTCGTTGTAAGAGTAAATTCCAAGCATATTTATGAGTAAATTAGAGAATATAAGTTTGAGCGGGTTCTTTTTTTATGGTGTTTGATTGGGTTCTGCGTGAGTGAGTGAGATACATGGAAGCCAACCTAAAGATATATGAGAAGCTTTTAGTATGTTGAATGAGATGACTAGTCGTGACTTCCGATCGAGTCCAATTCACACCAAACACCTAGGGTCGTTTGGATTGAGTATTTGGGGATGTTATTTGAGGTCAAATAACACAAATCTGTTATTTGACCCCAAATAACATGTTTGGCTGACAAAAAGTGGGATGTGTTATTTGGATGTTTGGATGTAGTGTTTTGCCAAATAACAGGTTTGAGACCAAATAACACAAAAAGTGTTGTTTGCCAAATACTTGGGAGGGGCAGGTATTTGCCAAATAACAAGTTTGAGACAAAATATCACATACCAAATAATATGTTTATATTATGTGGTATTTGTGTGGTAATTGGCCCCAAACAACAAGTTTGTCAAATACTCAATCCAAACGACCCCTAGGCATTTCTACTTCATAATCATCTCCAAGTGGGGGTCATGGAACTCCAATCCCCTAATGTCATGTCTCATGTGTCTTATACGGGTTTTCAGTACCCTCTCATTCTAAAACAAAGTTCAGATAATGCGAGGTTAGAGTAGAAAAATGGTCAAGAAGCGTTTTTTCACTTTCTAACAAAATTGAAAAACTTTCAAACTCCTTCTCATATTCAGTAGGAAGTGGATTTTCCAAAAAAAAAAGGTATGATGTGGATTGAAATCTAAGATTCGTGTTTTAGTATCTATTTTTAGAAAATGTCTTGCGATCACTGATCACAATCATTTTTGCGCTTCTGGATGAAGTATTTTTTGTCTCCCATTATATTTCAATATCAAAGACGATCTTCATGCTTTTTATGAAAAAAAAAAGAAGGATGAAAATAGAACAACTCGGTCATGTAATTGCAAATTCAATGAAATTGAACTGACTGTTTGACTGAATTACCATGAAGGACTATTTGGTTTGTTTCTCTCTTAATTATATACATGACGACCTTATCGAGTTTAATTCAATTGTTGGTTCAATTCCCCCCCCCCCCCCCCCCCCTCGTTTTTAGCTAGAAGGAAAGCAGGAAAAAGTCTATTCTTGGGATAACTAACTTGCGCTTGGATCCCCAAACCAATATGAACAGAGAAGACGGTGAATTCCATGGTCAACACTTTTGATTCATCGTCCAACTCATCACCCTCTATAGCTATTATTGAAACCAAATCTTTCATATTTTTTCTAATACTTATTTTTTCCATATCAGTCAACATTTTTTATATAATACGCATTAAAAAAAAAAAGAATTCATACTTTCCGTTGGGATGCGATCCAGAGAGTTAGGTTATAGGTTAGCTTTCTTTCTTTTTTTTAATCACTCCTTAACCTAGCTGTGGCCTCCACTTTTTCCCTTTCACCAAAGCTGCAGGGAAAGAAAGAAAAAAAAAAAAAGTTAAAGAAGCTTAAAAATTTGGTCTCGTCCTCCCATTTTCACAGCCAGCGTTTTTGCAGCTCCGGGGTCGTCTCTCATCTCTAAGGCCGCGTGCGCATATATAAAATAAAAGCCACATTAAGAGGGAGCTATCTGTCTGCCTTACTCAAACACCACACTTCTTTCTCCTCCTCCTCCTTCTTCTTCAGTACTACTCAGAAAGAGAGAGAGAGAGAAAGAAAGAGAGAAGAAGAAGAAAGGTATCTATCTCACTACAATTCCGGGCGCCACCGTTTCTTCAGGAGCCCAAGCCGGGAGCCTCCCAGCCCAAAAGAATAACGACACCAACAAGCTCAAGCTAAAGCTAGGTAAATATAATTACCAAACTTGACCCCAGGCTTTGAGTTTCTATTTCCAGCCGCTGTTTCATTCATTCATTCTTCTTCTTCTTCTTCATTTTCCTTGGTAGCTAGGGTTTCTCTATTGGATTTTGGGTTTGAAAGGAGATCCATATTCTTTATTACGTTTTCTTTGACTTACCATTTCCTCCACCCTGTGATTGTGATAGAGAAGCGCAAGAAAACAGATTGGGGGTTTCCATATCTGGTCTCTGGTATCCCAGTTTCCAGTTTCGTCCCACCTAGCTAGCTACCCATCTTATTCTTTTTCTTTTCTTCTTTTGTTTAAAAAAAAAAATCTTTGAATTTCCTGAGTTGGGTTTTTGGAGGAACTAAAAACAAAAATATATGGATTGGGGTTCGTACTTTCTTCTTCTTCTTCTCCATTCAGCTGCAGTCCCCCAAATACCAAATCTCCACTCCTTTGCTTGCGTTTGAAGCTTGTGTCCCTCTTTTCCACAGCATAATATGATTAAATAATGATAATAATAGTTCCAAATCACCCTTTCTTCGCTTTGTTTTTTAGGAATCCCCGATTTTAGGATTTTAGGAATGCCCTCTTGATTCTTGAAATCCCTCCCTCCACCACCCGCACGTACGAAGCTTCCCCCTTCCCAACAAGAACCCACCCTCCCCTCAAAAGAAATCAATCTTTCCATTTCCCCCTCATTTTCAGCCTACCATATCTCTTTATTTGATATAATATCATATAATATCCCAAAACCAAATAAATATCCCTACCAATTAGCAAAATTTGGGTTAGCATTATGTTATGCGGGTGCAAGTTTTTTTCTTTTTTTTTTTTTTGATTCACTAACCACCACTTGAGACAGGCACACCAACGAAGAAGAAAAAAGAAAGAAATGTCGATGTCGATGTCCATGTCGTCGGGGTCGGGCTCCTCCTCCGCAGGCGGCGGCGGAGCCTCGTCGAACTCCCCGTGCGCGGCGTGCAAGTTCCTCCGCCGGAAGTGCACCCAGGAGTGCATCTTCGCACCTTACTTCCCTCCCGACCAGCCCCAGAAGTTCGCCAGCGTCCACAAGGTGTTCGGCGCCAGCAACGTCGCCAAGCTGCTGAAAGAGCTGACGGCGGCGCAGCGCGAGGACGCCGTCAACTCCCTCGCCTACGAGGCCGAGGAGCGCCTCCGCGACCCGGTGTACGGGTGCGTGGGTCTCATCTCCATCCTCCAGCACCGCCTGAAGCAGCTCCACCACGACCTCGACGCCGCCAGGAAGGAGCTCGCCAACTACATCGGGCCCCACCACCACGCCATGCTCTCCCTCCACCACCACCACCACCAACACATGGTCGGTTCTGCTGCCGCGGCCAACAACCATCACCACCACTCGTTCGTGCTGCAGCAGCAACAACATCAGGCTGCTGCTGCTGCACAGATGATGGACGGCCACGTGGTCCCCACAGCGACCACGGCCGTCCAGAACTATCCTTACCACCATCACCAGCAGCAGGAGATGGTGGCGAGGTTTAACGGAGGGTATGGAGGTATGGTGCCCGCTGCCGGCGGTGGGTTTAACCAGATTGGGAATGGAGGTGTGGTGACATCGTCTGGATTAGGGTTGGGGAATAATTACGAGATGCAGACTGATAATTACATTAATCAGCAGCACAATCAGAACCAGAACCAGAACAATGAGCATGATCAGGCGGCGCAGGTGTTTTTTCAGACCCACCAGCAGGAGAGGCAGCGGCGGCATATGGCGAGCCGCCATCATCATCATCAGCAGGAGGAGGGAGAGGAGGAGGAGGGAGAAGAAGAGGAATTGGAGGCCGGCGGGGATAGGGCTGCTTTGCTGATGAGGCCATCCTGTTGATCGATGATGATAAAAAAGCTTCCTTTTGATTTCCAAATTTCTTTGCTCTCTTTTGCTGGTTTGATCAACATTTCTCATGCTATCTTGGTGAGTGACATCAATCAACTTCCCTTCATTATTATTTATTGGTCTGATTTCCAGTTGCTAGCTTGATTACAGTTTTGAGTTAAGTTGAAGGCTTCTGTTTATGAATGTGTTTTTATGTTGAAATAATAATTATGAATGCAAGTACGTGGAGGGATTGTTTATGACTATACTTAAGTACGTAATTATCAATGTACCAGCATGCTATTAGTTCTTTCTATCTATATTTCCAGTTCTCATGGCTGCAGTATACATTATATATTTGATTTCCCAATTTCTATTTGTGGCAGAGGATGACAAGTGAAGAACGTGTAAACAAGGAAGAAAGGAAGGCGCATTTGGATGTTGATGAAATGATATAATATAATTTTACATGTTGAAGAAATTTTCTAAATGGAGAAGGGGTCTCAAAGTAAGGACAAGCAGTAATTCTGTGGAATTAAGGAGAATATTTACTTTTTGGGTGAGGTGAGAGTTGGGGTGATTGAACTGCTTTTTTTTTTTTTTTAATCCTTGTGTGGCTTATATCTATCTATCTATCGGTCTATCCATATACATTGTTTAAGTAGTTTTACTAAGTATCTCTATTTAGAAAATTATGAGATGAGAACTCTTTTGGAGATAAGTCTATGATATATCCAAGTATTTATGTCATTATTAGTTCATGATCTTGATGAATGCAGGCACTCCTCATACAGGGTAAATGACATCTTTAGCAGTCAGTCTCTATATTGATATAACAATCATGTCTTTTTTCACTATGAATTTAGCAGTTTACGAGTTAATGATGAATTATCTGGTCCATTAATTTGTCATTCATATTATGAAATCCTTTCGAATTCGCTACTATTTTGAATATAGTATTACTCCAGCCGTACTTAATTTGTAAGCACGTCCTTTGTGCCTAGCATGTCATGGATGTTGAAAATACATCCCAAAAAAAAAGCCTACACACGTTAATCAATTTTAGACCATACTAAGCCTCAGATGACTAGATTGTAAAAACTAGAAAGGACTTTTTTGAGGTTAAAGGGTCAAGTGGAAAAGATAAAAAAAAAAGAGAAATTTTAACATATTTGTCATATGGGTCATCCACTATTCTTACTAAACATGAGTTAATATATAATTGTAATTGATTTACATAAGTTTTTTAATCGATATGCTAAAGATATCCAACAACATATAGTTAATGAAAGTTTGTACCACAAATATGATTGTTTGTGTTTCCTATGGATCCAAAAAGCTTTTCAATTTTGATGAATCAGAAGTGACAACAACTAAATTAACACATACAAATTTGTGCCTGCTGGCCTTGATTGCTGAACATGTGCATGCTATAGTAGAAGCTAATTATAAGCAGTAGTTCCATATAGGAGATTTGACATCTGAGTCCCTGCTCTCAGAAAATGATGATTGGGTGAGGACCCAATTAATATTATATATCTGATCGACCAAAAGAGAACTGGAGAACAAACCCTAGCTAGCAAGACAGAGAGAGAGAGAGAGAGACGATTGAGATGCTAGTTTGCTAGCTAGCTTTATGAACCCCATTCATTAATTATTGATGTGGCATGACATGAATAGATGAATCGTGGGAATCAATGAATGAATGAATGGAGGAGGAAGAGGAATACAGTCCAACAGCAAAAAGAGGAGATCAGAGAGGTCATTTATGACTCGCCATGGAAGTTCTTTTTCTCTTTCTCCTCTGCCATGATAAATAGTGAACGACGATTAGGACGATGGATAGTAGTGACTCTGAGAATACATGGGATGGGAGGATCAGGCGGTCAAATGGCTATACAGTCAAAAACTTGTTAAAAGTTATGTAAAAATCTTAACTAAACCCAAGTTATTTGTAACCGATCAAATCACTTCCTCCTATTCAAGTTCCAATCTTAGAATGTTTGGTTCGACCAAGTCAGGATGTCAAATTAAGTTATCGAAATCGTGCGATAAGCGTGCAGTGGTCGATGCACACCTGATCGGACCCAGTTGGCATATTTTATTCGAGCTGGGGTCGAGTTGGATCGGTTGGGTCGAGCAGGTCCATGTAATGATAGTCGTAAGGCTTGACGAGCTTATTTGACACTCAGACTTAAAAATGAACCAACGCGAAATCAAACCAAAATGAATTTTTATTGTCAACTGTCACTTAGTTTCGATTAGTATTCTGTTACTATTTTCAATCTGACGATCATTTTGTTACCATTTTATCCATATATGTATCGTCGAGTGATCACATAAGCATTTAACCAGGAGGATAAGGAAGGAGAAAGAGAGGGATTAATATTGGTGGAGTAGTAATAAAGAGGAGAATGCTTTAAATCCATGGTTGCCCGTTTTGGTTGGGTTATTCATGTGTGTGCGTTGGTGGGTGTTGTGAGTTGTTTGTTAGGGTTTTGTTTCATGGAAGTGGAAGGCTTAATTAATGGGATTCTTTGGTTTGTCTTGTTTAACTCTTACGATCTGGTCTTAAAGTTCTCTGCATTAATGGATGGTGATGATGAAGAAGAAGGAGGAAGGGTTGCAAATGGGCTCAAATGCCTCGTGTGAAGTGTTTTGGTGAAAGTGAAGTATCACTTTTTGTGTAGGGTTTTTTGGGCAATACAATGCAATGCAATGCAATACGTACCCACTACTCCCCACATTTATGATTGTTTTGCTCTCTTAACTTTCTCATTGATTGCTGTCTTTAATAAATTCGAATATGGATGGGAAGAAAGAAGGAAGACCTAACAGACAAAATGGAGGAATATTAATTGACTGATCCATCCATCCATTCTTTCTTTCTTCCTTCTTCCTCTTGGATCCCTAGCTAGCTACCCCTGCCCAGGAAAAGGAATGTCTAAGTCACTAGTAGCTCTAGCTAGCTAGCTAGCTATACATACATATATACGATTATACCTGCTGATGACCAGCTCTACCTGCCTATTCATTGACTCTCATTCATAGGATTTCATCCTTTTGCTATGTTAAGCACTCAATACTGAATTATAAATCTAGGGTATCGTATACGTTTAGTGAGAAAATGTTTTTTAGGTTTCGAATTAATTGAATTTTGAGACATGTTATTATATTCTAACTCTTAATGAGTGAAGGCTAGGAGGACTTTTGGTCACTGAAAATGAAACATCCAAAGAGGCAATGCAGATTGAAACCTCAACAACCAAGGTGTGAAGTGCGGAACATAGATCCTGAAGTAAACAAGGGTAATGGACGTTATAATGGGTTTAGTTCCATGTCAAGCTTTTTCAGTTTATATTGCTTTTGCAATTGGTTATCTATTTGAGTTAGGCTCTATGTAAGCGCTACCCTGTTGGGTTTGTCTTTTGGCACTGTTGCCTCCCTTCAATAAATAAAAAAAAAGAGTGAAGGCTAGGTCCTAATTCTGTAAACCATAAGTCATAAATCGTAAGATGGTACATGTAGTTTAATTTATTGTGTGTATTTGTCGACCAATTATAACCCTTGACTATTGTTTCTAATTTAATTGATCTTAATGTACAAATTTATAGAATTAGGACCTAGAATTTAATCACTAAAGTTTAGAATATAGTACCATGTCCCATAGTCTGACAATTCAATGTTTAAAACATCATTTTCTTATTTAGTGTATGTATATTACCTCCATATTTACTTTGGGTACCATAGAACTCTTCATATATCGAGAGAATAACCCAACGAGGAAAAACATCAAATATTTGTGAGAGAAGTCTGATCAGTATTACTATTTTCTTGAATGTGTGTAAGAGTCAAGAAGTATTGTGTTTTGGATTATCTATGGGGATTAATATTCCGGAGAGCGTTTCAGTGCCTTATTTACTTTTTGACCTCATATTTTTGTAACTAGCTTTTATCTGACCGTTGGTTGTATGAGTTTTATTTTATTTATAAATTTAGTCATATTTTTGAATGATTTGGGGTCTTGTAAATAGCTTATTCATGAGTTGAAAGTTATGCTTGTGCTACTTGTAGGCGGGCGTTGAGTACTTGGCAACCTCCTCCTGTTGATACCTATAAGATTAATTGTGATGATATAGTGTCAACTTGACGCGCTGAACGACTATGATCAGAATCCTTTCGGTGGCCCGTTTCCCATTGGTGCGCTGGAGACGATTCTTTCTGTATCTTCGGCTTCCTCTTCTTCTGTAGCTTCTTTTTCGTCTTCTCCTCCTTTCGAGTCAAACAGATAAAACATATGAATTGGTTCTCTTGGCTTGACAATCATTTATCGAAGGATCACCTTGAGTTGTGGGTGATTGGCTTGGGATGTATGGTATCGCAGAAATAAGTTTTTGTTTGAAGAAAGCATCGGCATTGCGTGGTGTATGACGCTCGCCGAGCGGGCGCGAATAAACTAATAAAAGAATTCTTACTAATAATAATAAAGAGTTAAGCGCCTCCAAAGCATATAAATAGAAGCTTCTTCCAGTCTATATTTTCGAAGAGAGAGGTAGAAGTCAAAAAGAAAGACTTGAAGTAACACAACACTCTTATGGATATCATCGCCGAAAGACTTTCCCAAATCAATCACGAAATTCAAAATGTAGAAAACGAGAAGCTCCAAGACGAGTGTTTGCTCGGTCTTCGTTGGAACCCGAGATGCTAAGGATCAAAGACTTTTTGGATATGGAGCGGCTTGTCTTTTTCTTAAAGAATCATGCCCTTCTGAATGGTTTTGTGATTGAATCACTCCTCAGGTGAGCACCCTCTTTCCCGAGGAACTATACTTTGACGTCAGATTAGCTACATCAGATTTACTACTACCCTATTGGAACATCGATAGAAGTCGCTTACTTTAAGAGGTGTACGCGGCAGTTCTGAGCAAGGTTCAAAAAAGCGCTAGTCGTAAGGCGAGCGTTGAGGCTCTGCCTAGCGCCTAGCACGCCTAGGCGTAGACTAAGCGTGCCTAGGCGTGGGAAGAAAAATAGATATTCACACTGTATGATGAATAAATAATAATCTACAACACTTCCTCGCTTCAGCTAAATTGATTAATAACTTACTCAACATTTAATGACAAGATCATAGCTCACAAATTCATAGAATCATAGCTCAATAGCTCACAAAGTTCTCGAATTATTGAAAATATTGATATAGAAAATTGATTTTGTAGTTGATGTCAATTTCCTCCTTTAATATTGTCTTCCTAGCTCCATGTAGTTATGTTTTAGAGAGACTTAGATGTCGCCTTACTCCATGGACGTGTTATAGCAGTATCTAACTAGGCGCAAAACCCCTAGGCGAGGCGTTTTGTCATTGCCTTGCGCCTAGGCGTGCCTAAGCGCAAGATTAAGCGTGCCTTTTTGAACCATAGTTCTGAGTGAGGCTTCTCTGAGCTAGTAGCATCGAGATCGATTTGGTCACTGATCTGGTTGCCTGGAGTGGAGTTCTTGTCGAATCTAATGATGTTACATTGCATTTATTGGGCTTTATACCCCAACCAAATATTCTAGGGCAAGAGAGCAAAATTACTTCTTTGCTATGATTGGCACATGCCTGACAAGTAGGTATTGAAAGCGCTTCCAGCTAGCCACGACTTAGGTCGTAGTCAGTTCAAACACATAAACCCAGTCTACCTGCAGCCATGTTGATAAAAATGACTAAGTTTCATGACTTGACCAGTCACTCGCCCTCGTATTAGAAGATCATCTCACCTTGTGGTCGACATTCCATTCCCCTTAGTCGTAGGTGCTCGTCCAATTTTGATTTGAATGGGCCGGGTCTCCCCCAAAACTGAAACCAGTACTTGTCTATCATGGCCAGTTTAAGAATTCTTTATAGAGATAGAGCTAGAAGCGCGGTGAAGCTAACACGCTTACTGAGTGGATGGAGGGAAGGGAAAAGATTCAAAGGATGGCGGTCCGCGGAGGGACTAGTTCCGTGCCCGCGAGTGACTTTCTTGCTTGGCCAGCGGAAAATGATACTCCACGGAGTTCCGTTCTTTTCGTTGGGTAATTAGGAAGGATTTCCTTCTTCGGAGCAGGAGGGGACTCTGGATCAGAAACGGATTAGGCTTCATTGAACGAGCTTCCAATTTCCGATTGGGCTGCGTAACGTAAGAAGCAGCAGGGTTACCTGGTTTAGGAATAGTAGCATCATGAGTCTCAGTAGCAGAAGGAATCTCAATAGGCAGGAGCTGATTTACTTGCACCGCCCTGTCAAGGCGGAAGCTGCGGGTTCGAGTCCCGTCAGTCCCGACCTAGGATCCGATGAATCGATCAATTCATCTTTCCATTTTTTGTGAAGAGGGGAGGGTTCTATTAGGAGATAATTCATAGGTATTCTGCTGGTGATTACACCGGTTCATTAGGCTTAGGAGTCTCTCTCGAATAGGGTAACAGTTTAGGGTGAAGTCACGAGTTGAATAAAAGGTAGTTAACTCTCCTTCCTTCATTCCCGTTTTGGAGAAACTAGAAAAGATAGAGGGAGGGGGAGCAACATCTTATTCTTTTCGCGAGAACTTCCAGATAAGAAAAGTATTCGGAACGGGTAAAAAAGTCACTCTTGAATAAGAGGAAATTATATGGTTCATTACCAGCAATGCGCGTTCGAATCGCGTGAGTGACTCCCCTAAGAAATTCAGGCTAGAGAAAGGCTATTCCATATCAGCAGCTATGCTAAGCAGTTAATTCACCGATGGCTCTTAAAAAGGGAAGACCCTAGAACACCTCTTTAGCTAGCAAATGCTGCTATCCTCTCTCCAAAATGGGGGGAAAGGGTGCTCTTCTATCTTTTGAAAAACCAGGTATCCCCGTCTTCAAATGGCATATGTAGTTCCCATAAAAAGAAATACTCCTCCCCGAGAACAGTTCTTTGCCTTAAATTCAAATAAGCTATGCGTCGAACTTCATTCACTTTAATTGGTTCTGGGGGTTAGCAGTCGAAATAGCAATAGGAGTCGCAGGAGAAGTACATGAAGCTCATATGAATACCATTGGTAAGAATGAGGCCAAGCTAATCTTCCTACTTAAGCATGATAGTTGTGCTCTACCTTTCTCCGCCTTTCCCGTCCTTGTCTGTCTTCTCAGAAATAGCAGCATTCCATTGTAGAATTATCCGTAGCTTAACCAGATGTCACGTAAGAATAAGAAGAAAGCGCCCGCGCCCTTGTTCTGTGGCCTATAAAAATATGGCCGGGAAGAAAGAGTTTGAGGTTTCAAGAATAAGCTCTTTGATAGAATCCCAGAAAGAGAGAATAGCCAACCAAGAAAGATGGGCTCAGCCCGAACCCCCGACACCGTGGTTCGTAGCCACCACCTGACCAGTGATTCCCGCTTTCTGTCATTATCTAAGCGCGTACTTCTTCACAGCAGTTCCCTGAGGGTAAGTAGGCTGCTTGCAATTTGGATCTCTTAGTTGTTGAGAGGGTTGCCCAAAAGCAGTATATAAGGCATACCCAGTAAAACTTACAAGTAAACCAGATATAAAGATGGCGACTAGGGTTGCTGTTTCCATTATTCTATAATTTCAAGACCCCAATGGATCTATGATAAGATCATTTATTTACAACGGAATGGTATACAAAGTCAACCAAGCTCAATTAATACAAAATAGGATTTATGGCTACACAAAGCGTTGAAGGTAGTTCTAGATCATGCTCAGTCAATCGTCAATCTCCAGCCCAAAGCTGACCAGTACAACCATGTGTCACCCCGCGGACTTCGTCGTACCCTGCCTACTCGTCTTTCACTAGCTTATTTGTACCATGCTACAATCTATTCCTTAGGCCCAAGGACCCCTCAGCCAATCCTCACTCGCCAGCTCCGTCCTGCTCATTTGCCACTGGATATCCACATTTATCCCGTCAGCTGATGTTCATTCCACCCCCCATCGGTTGAGTGTTTTCATTACCCCGGACATTAGATTGATGCTTAGCGTGAAGTATAGGTTATGCGTTATGTGGCAGAATCAGAGCGCATAACGACAGCTATTCCTACTCCTACTTATGATCAAATTGAAGCGTTTGGTCCATAGCACGAATACATAAGTCCTTTGGGAAAACAATCACTCGAATATTCTCTTAGCTCTGCAGTCTTTGTGAGTGTGGAGAGCCATTGAATAATGAAGTTAGGATCCTTTCACAGCCTGAGAGTGAGTAGAGAAGGTTGGACTTGATTTTACCTTTTTTACTTTCATGCGGAAAACAGGGTGGGGCCCCTCTGGTCCGGTTCAATCAGTGTCTTCCGCGACGAGATACTTTTAAGTAAGGCCGCAGGGTACCTTTTCTATGTCCTGTGTCGAAGCTTTCAGGTCCTTAGATCGGGTCAAGCTTTCTTATTCTCGTGTCACTACAGGTCCCAGGGATGGGACTTTCAGGCCAAGTGCAGATTCGTCGAAATCGAAAGCTAAAGGTAGTTTTTCGAGTAAAGAGATAACACTAGTAGCAACCGATATGGGAAATCCCTTAATAGTTTAGCCTCTCTTCATCCTTCGTCTTCTCTTGTGTATCTTTCTTCGTCCGAAAAGCGGCATTAGTTGGCAAATAAGCCTTTCCCTTCATCATCCTTTCTCTCCCAGCTCCTAGCTATCAAAATAGGAATTGCTATTCGCGGAAGAAACCGAAAAAGCACTCTCTCTTATGGATTTGTATGGCTTTGCCTGCCCCCTTTTTCTGGTCAAATCCGGCAAAAGCCTCTTTTTTCTTAGTCAACCTATGTAGAATCCTACCCGTGTTTGGCTCGAAACACTGGGTTTCAACCCTGCATTTCCTTTTGAAGAGGGCCAAAGAAAGGTTTCCACCTGCTGCCAACAGTCTTTCTTCAGAATTATACTGAACGGGTCGATCCTCCCCTTTGTTTTATCAACTTATCTTATCTTAAACCTCGCCAAGAGCTCCCCGACGACGATAGAGGAACCAACCCGCCAGCTATGGCGGGCGGCTTTTTTCTTCCACAATGTGACCTGGACGATTATCCCTACCCTCGACTGAATTTGTCCTAGTTACTCTTCGGGACGGAGGAGCTTCTCGAACGAGGAAAAGGATCCAATGACTTCGAAAGAATTGAACGAGGAGCCGTATGAGGTGAAAATCTCATGGTGCGAGTTTAGCGAAACTGAGCCTTGTAATGAAGGAAGAATTGGATGTGGAAGGTAGAATTGAGCCAATGTGTGGAAGAGCATTCCCAGACCCTTTTTCTCCAGTCAACAGGTCATCCTCTGAGTTTTAACTAACCGAATAAACTTGTTGATGTGCTAGACAATTTTATTCAGGAATGCATAGGACAACTAGCCCAATCCGAGAATTCGGAAAGTGTTCACCTTCGGGAGGCGTCAGAGGCGCAGGGAGCCTGACTTACGGTTTCCAGACAGAGAATGATTAGGGGGCTTTCGGCATCGCTTCAAAGCTACGTTGGTGGGTTTACTCGTAATTTGAAAGATATGGATTCTTTAAAGAAGAGGATAGGCGAGCAATCATTTAAAACCATTGTTGGAGAACACAGATCCTGGTCTTGTTACTTTATGTTTCGGAGTCATTTGATTCCTTGATAAAGTCCTAACTAGAAATATCTTAAGAGAAGACAAGAAATCGTTTGGATTCGACGCGAAACCCTTCGTAGGCGTTACTACGTCCTTCTGCTCTCATCTCCAAAATCGAAGGTCTACTAGTTGATTGTGGTATTAGTGATAATTTTATCCGACAGTTGGTTGGATGAGTTTTATTTTATTTTATCTTTTATGTTATATATTTAATCATATTTTAAATGATTTGGGATCTTGTAAATAGCTTATTCATTAGTCGAAAGTCATGTTTGTGCTACTTGTTAATAATTAGTTTAAATATATACTATTGTCCATTACGTCATCCTACCTTATTGTTATCTTTATAATTTTTCGCATTTTAGAATAAAATTTTCACTTTTTATTGTCATCGTAAAAATAAAATGCTTAAAAGTATTTCTTCATAAGACTCGGTATTCCTTTCTCATTGCTCGTCACCAGTTTTCCAGATCAGTTTTTTTTTTTTTGTTCTTGTCTAGTGGTATTCTTTTCATTCTAGTGGTGATTTTGCGTGTAGTGGTAGTGTTTCGGTCTAGTGGTATTGTAAGTGATTGTGGTACTCTTTTTAGTGCAGTAGTAGTGTTATCGGTATAGTGGTAGTGATACTTTTTTTTTGTGGTAGTATATTTTTTAGTGTTAGTGTAGTGGTACTTTTTTTTTTTTTTTTGGTAAAATAGTGGTACTTTTTTTGTCTAATGGCATATTCAATGGTGATACTTTTTTTCAATAGATATTTTTTAAGGGTAATGCAATGATACTTTTTTGTTGTGTTGTCCAAAAGAGTTTGTCTGAGGAATATGTTCGGAGGAATTTTGTCGTCGGAAGACAAAGAAATTGTTGGAAAAGAGCGAGTGAGATATATGGAAATGAGAAATGAGAGATTGAGAGAGAGAGAGGAATGTAATTATTGTAAGAATTAAATTAAAAAAAAGTAATGCAATTAATATGAGTTTTTAATTCACAAAAGTACAATTAATACAAAAAATTCTCAACACCCCAAATACATTTGGTTTAGAAATTGTTGCGAAAATGAAAACTCAAATGGTTGCAACCGCATCCCGTCCCAAAGGGTTGATGAATTTCACTTTGTTTTTACTTTTCAGGACAACTAGGGTGAATTTAGTCTAGGTATCATGATTTGTCCCTCAAAATTTTTATTAGCGACATTAATTACTTATCAAGGTTCTTACATTTTGTATTTGTTCCGATATTCTATATGTTTCATTAATTTATATAGAAACCGTATTGCTTGTGCCCGACTCAAGAGGGCGCGAAGCATCTACGTCACCAATTACAGAAAATTTCATAAACTCTTTCATCAAAGTTAAAACTTGATAAGGTGCATCAATTTTGGAGTTAAGGATGGGTCTAATCCAAAAGATTACAGTATGCTTAAAACAAAATCACAGAGTTTCATTTTCATTATCTTTCTCAAATGAAAATCCCTAGTCTGCATACATGCTCTGTGTGCTGCATAGAATGTTACAACTGGGATTCAATGGATTAATCTGAAACTCTCAAGGCCTAACTACGACAGCAATCAAAAACAGGAGGGAAAAGTCTCTGTTACTGTTTGGGCTCGAGTTGGATCTTCACACTCACTTCAGCAGGAAAAAGCCCATTTACCACTTATCAAAAAGCCCATATTTCTCTTCACAAAAAACAAAACGGCCCATACTTCGCGTCGTCGTTCTTCCCCTTACACCTCTGTTACCGGCGCGTCGTCGCCGTCGTCGTCGCTGCTTCCACCGGCAAAATCAGGTGGCGGGGAACGCGTTCTTCGGCTGGGAGAGCGTGATCTGTGTCGGAAAGTGCTGGAAGGCCCCGGTTGTCCTGTTTCAGCGTTGGCGGCGGAAGTGCCAGGCTGATGATGCGGTGAGGCCGCCACGGGGTCAGCAAGAGCCTGATGTTCTACTGCAAGAGGAGAAACAGGGCCGCCACCGCCGCCTTCTCCTTGATGTGGTATTTGCTGCTCCACCTCGTCGTGTTCCTCCTGATCAATCGGTTGCTCTGCTGCAAGAGGAGCAGCGGGGCCGCCGCCGCCTCCTTGCTCTGCTATTTGCTGCTCCACCTCATTGTGTTCCTGCTCTGGTTGCTCTACTTCTCCGGAAAACGTCGCCGCCGATGCTATATCTCCAGCTATGCTACTCGATCCCCCTTGCTGACTACTGTTGCCGCTACCAATTGGCTGCTGCAATCCATTCCCGATTGGCTGTTGCAATCCATTCCCATTTGGCTGCTGCAATTCATTCCCAATTGGCTGCTGCAATCCATTCCCAATTGGCTGATCCACTTCTTCTCCTTGCACGCCATTCACTGCCCCTTGCGGATTGTTCCCGTTGCCAATTGGCTGGTCAACTTCTTCCCCTCCAGACGACGACTCTGCCGCCGTTGTAGATAGGTCAAAGTTGATCAACGACAGCGTCCTCAGGGGATCCAAATCTTGCGGCTGCTCTGCTTCTCCTCCCCAATTCTTGAAGACGAGATAATCGAGCTTGATGATGTGATCGTCTTTATCCTCTGTTTCCCGATTCTCTACGTTTCCCTCCGGAGGTTCCCCATACCAAGATACTCTGAAGATCGGTTCTTCATTGGATGATTCGTCGGATTTACCGCTCGGTTCAGTGGATGGCTCGTCTCCGGCGGACGGTTTTTCGAGACCATCGGTTGGATCTCCGTCGGCGGCGGATGCTTCTCCATCAGATGCGATTTGTTGTGTCGCCGCTCCCAATAGCGCGATGAGCTGCCTCTTCAGATCTTCTTGCTCGCTTTTCTTGGGATTCACAGTAATCGGGAAGCAGCGGCTCCATCCCTCTGATATATCCGGTATTGCCGCCGCCGGTAGCTTGAAAAACTGGCGCTTCGGATCTTGTTGTTCATTGCTGTGATTCCCAATTGGTTGTTGTACTTCTCCTTCCAACGCATCCGCCGCCGTCATAGATCTTTCGACGCCGATC